TTCATTTTACCGACAACTCGGAGGTTACATTTAACCTTTACATAATCAAACAACTAATAAAATACTAAAATGGCGCACCGCGTGTTGTTGGTAAAATGTCGGTAAGTAATACGTGCTCATCAAAAACATGTGTAACATATTTGCGTCACTCAAAAAAATCCCCCCATGTAAATTTAATTTTACACAACTAGCTAGGGAATGGATTTTTGCTCATTCATTCCACCTTAAAAAACTCTGATGATTATTATATAATAAAAGTCTTGTATTTTGATAATCACCAAAGGGTTTAAAAATAAATGAGAGCCTAAAAAGTGGAACTTTGTTAGAAACTTCAAACATTCATTAGTAAGAATTTTATTAAAAAACTTGTTTACAAAATTTCTTGTTAATAATAACCACGGAATAGACAGAATAAACTTCTATTTTCAGACAATTTCCTATCAATGAATATGCCTAAGTTTGCTTTTTATCTATATTTACATGTAAGAATTACATTTTTTTGTTCAATAATAAGTTTATATATTCATAATAATAATAATAATAAGTAAATATTACTGACTGGTTTTGTTAATTATAATTATAAATATAATATTAATTGATTATTTTTATTTCATGAATGGCAAGCTTAAGGAAAATAAATTATAATATTAAAACCATAATATGATATAATCACAAAAATGGCTTTATTCAAATGAAAAGATTTGTACAAACTTAACCAATCAATTTTTTCAATAAAATTCCATATAATCAATCAATCAATTGTAATAGTAATGACCAAAAAAGTGATAATTAATTTCCAAAACAAGACTTTTCCACAAAAAATTTCGGAAAAAACACTTGAAAATCGCCGAATATTCGACAAACATAAAACATCATTGCCATAGAGGAGTTCTTGTACACATGTTTAATGAATTGGTTGTATTTATTGTTTAATATTCATATTGTTATGTTTGATTTTTTTTTAATATTAACGATTTTCCTCTATGGCGTACCTTCATTCAATTTTAAAGTGTGTACTAACTAGGTAATGAAACTATTATTATTCAAGATAAGTTTTTTTTCTCCCACCCTTTTTTACATATAATGATGATTTTTTTTGTTTGAACTAAATTTTGTATTGAATATGTATGTATGAGCATGTTATATAATGTACAAGAAGAACAAATAGTAAATTGTTTGTTCGTGTCCTTATTCCCCACAAATGTATAATGCATCGTTTAATGGTACAAAAATCAAATGTTGCAGAGAATTAAAAAAAATTTTTTGAAAGTTTTGACAAGTAGATAAGTAGATGACGAGATGGTAACAAGTTAAAAGTTACACAATGATATTTATTATAGGCCCATATTACGTTTTGTGTATGCTAAAAAAAAAAATAACATATTAACATGAAGCAACCCCAAAACATTGTGAACCTTATAGAGAATCTTGATTTGTAAATGTTGTGGAGAGCATGTAGTAAGTGGGTTAAAAAAGTTTGTTAAATAATGGTTTAAATTTGGTGTCAATAAAAAACCTCGAGAAAAATTTTTTAAAAAAATTTTTTTTTAAAAGGTTTGACGATCTAAAGTCATGTGTGCGTATCACTACGGTTTTTTATAATGTGTGTTAACGTCATACATAATTTTTTTTTGATTAGATTGGAGAAATTTAATGAATTTGCAAAGGAAATCGCATTATTAAATACTATGGTATTAAGTTATAACAAAGAAACTTGCATTGTCTTTTTAACAAGCAATTCACACGATCTTATGCCTTATTGTTAGTAATTATTGGATGAAAAAAAAAATTTTTTTTGTTCCTTAATATTAATTTTAGGATATTGTAGATAGATAGTGCATGTAATAATGGTCTTCTAGATTTATTATTCTAATAATGTTGGACTGTATGCACGAAAAAACATGAAAATTTTATATTGATTCATTAAAAAAATAATAATAATTACATCATTTAAAAAAAATAATTAATTACATCATTGAAAAAAAATTTTTTTTTAGTGAATGAATGGATGAATGAATGTATGTCGAATGCTACTATTATTCAAAAAAATTTTCATCAGGTGGGATAAACAAAAAAAAAACAACTAAAAAAGAATTTATTGAAGAAAGTCATAATTTAAAAAAGCTGTTGATGCGTAGGTTGTTTGAAACGTGATTAAAAAAATAGATAAAGAAATCTAATTACCATATTTAGTTCCGCCAAATTCAAAAGTTTCAACACATTTTCTTTCAAGAATATGAAATAAAGCACCATAAACAAACTTACATTTATGTAGCAAATATAACTGTATTAACTGTAATGAAATCGATGTGCCACGAGGACATTATGATAATAATAATATTATTGTTATGATTAAAAAATAAATAAACATGTAAAAGAAAAATATTTATTATTCTTAACATTCATGCCAAATGTTGCACAACTTTGACTACAATGTTCTAGAACCAATTCTTCGGTAACTTGAAAATCAGAAAATTGTGTCATAAACATACAACTTATATATACAATGAAAACTATATAATAAAATGATAAATAAATAATATAAATAATATAATATATAAAATTATCCTTTTTTATTTTTATCCCATATCTTTAATTAATTTTTTATTTATTGATCTTAAAATTACGTCCTATTCTTCCTGCAAATTGAATTGATAAATCATCATTATTATCATTACAAAATTTTTTCCTTTTGAAAAATTAAAAAGTTTTTAACGATTTTTTTTTTTTTGTAAGCGGGATAGACAACGTTTTAACGAGTTTTTTATTATTCTCTTGACAAAAAAATTTCCCTTCTTTTTTAAAATTCTTTATATCTATATAATAACTAACCAATGGATAATGAAAATTTCATCACATCAAACGTACACTCCATATCTCCATCAATCGATTACAACACCCCATTGAATACCAATTATGTTATTGATGGAAATAATCCTAATATGTTATTAAGCCCTGAATATGGAAATAAAGAAATAAATACATTGTCGTCGTCATGTATAACTCAACATTATCCACATTTTCCTCCTAACATCATCTCTACCATACCATACACTTCACAAATTGCCGCTAATGTTTCACAACTTCAGTTTCCTCATGGAATGAAGTTGCAAGAGGTTCATTATACTACTTATTCTGATTATTATTATTATTATATAAATAATTTTTTTTGGAAAGAGTTGATTTTAAAAGTTTATTTTGTAAAAAATTTTATTTAAATTATGTCATAGAATTTTGAAGAAAGTCCACAAGGTATTAAACAAGTAAACAAATATAAAATTATGACCTCAATATTGATTACCATATTTCGCAGGTGAAGAAGGAACGTCATCATTACCAAATCCTTTAATAATTTGGTTAATAAAAAATCTTCTAAAAGGCTTACTATTTATTTTCTTGCGAAATATGGTGAATTGAATGATACGTTATAATTGGTTGTTTAATTTACGGCTTTTTTATAGTTCTGTTAACACTAACAATTGAATGTGCGTTTCTTTCTTCTCCTCTTTTAAATAATAACAATAATAATAAAAAAAGAGAAAATTCCAACTATTGATTATGATAATAATAGTAATAATAGTAACATCATCTGTCCACCAACACCAACAACACCTAATAACGAAAGATTAATGCTAAATGGTGGATGGATGAATACTCAAATCCATCCTGAATTTGCGACATTGAATCAAGCAGAAACATTAAATCAACAAGGTCAATATCTACTTCATAATGCAAAGCCTCGTAAGCCTCGCATTGCATTTGAATGTTTTTTCATAGCGGCCAATTTTGGTTCGCAAAAGGGAAAACATCAAGTCGCATACTGCCTACAACACGGATTTGGCGTCCCAAAGTAAATAAAATTTATTTATTATAATAATAATAATAATGATAATGACAAATAATAATAATAATGATCAAATATACATACATATATACATGCATATACAGAAATGAAACAAAGGCAGTGGAACTATATTTAGAGATTGCAAATTCTGGAAATCCAATTTCTGCCTCTTTATGTCAGCTTGGAATATGTTTTCAAATGGGTATAGGAGTTCAAGCTGATGCAACGCGTGCAATCGATTATTATGAACGCGCTGTTCATATGGGGTAAAGATTTTTCTCATACATTATATATATATTTTCACGAATCAAATAATACTAATGACCATTATTATTACTATTAGAAATCAAGACGCGATGTTTAACCTTGCATATTGTCTTCGTTATGGGGTGGGAACTGCAGTTGATAATAAAAGGGCATACAATATTTATCTTCAACTTGCACATTTAGGCGATCCTCAAGGAATGAAATTTGTGGGAAATTGTAAATTATTAGGACTCGGTACAAACCGAGATAAAAAAGAAGCGATCGAATGGTTCAAATGTTCCAGTAAAAGTGATATATATTGGGGAGGTAGAGTTGAATATGCTTTAAATCTTTTAAATGATGGAACATCAGTGAATACTTTACAAAATCGCCGTGAAGCATTCGAACTATTAAGATCTGTTTGTGAATCATTTCCCACATCTCCTGGGCCAATTAAATTATTGCTTGTCAAATGTTTTCATTTTAGCATAGGATGCCAAGAAGACTACATAAAGGCATTGTATTGGTATCAAGAAGCAATAAAAAGTCATTTCATGCCTTTATATGCGATACGAGAGTGCCACTATTTGATTGGTCAAGTTCAAAATATTTATCGAGAACCCCTTGTGAAAAAAGAAGTGGTTCATGACAACGACTTTTAAAAAATTTTTTTTTTCATCCTTTCGTTTTTTTTTTTTTTAAAAAATATCATCATCAATTTTTATATACGTTTATGTCATATGAAAAAGTTTTTTTTATTCAATCAAGTAAGAACAAAGGAAAAAAATATTTACAACAACTATTAATTATTAATCAATAATTTATTAAGATAATAAGAACAAAATATATAAGCTTTAAGTATATAAAAAAAAAACAATAAAAAAAGAAATATTGATAAGGTATCATCTGATTATTTATTCATATATTTCTTTCTTTCACTTATTGAAAATTTTTCCAAGCTATATCTCAACATCACTCTTGGCATTTTACTTGCATTTTTATCTAAAAAGTTAACCAGTGTTTTCTTTGATTTCTAAGTATACATATAAAAAAAAATTTTGATTTTCATTTAGTAATTATTATTGTTACTATTATTACTATCATTGTCATACCTTTCCCACCTCTCTTAACATCCAACCTGTAGCTTTGTGTATCAAATCTTCCTTGTCATTCAAATAAATTTCAGATAATTTTATTGTATCTTCATATTGTTCTTTATTGATGAAATATTGAGTGGCAATCATCGCAATTCTTCTATCCCAAAGTCTTTCAGAAATTGCCAGTGTTTTGTATAACCATTGATCTTTAAGATCTAGTTTGTCAATCAAATAAGCACCAACAATTTGACTGGCTGATGTGTCAACCAAATCCCAATTATCAATACCTTGTCTCATATCATTAATATAAAAATCAAAAATTATTTTCTTCTCTTCCAAATCTTTTGTAACTTTAAATCTGTCGACAATGTTAATAGCGGCTAGAATCCTTTCTTCGTGATACTTGGATTGAATTAAATCTTTCAACATTTCATAAGACAAAAAATCTAGACTTTTTGATACGCTACGAATATCTGGAACACTGGTGCCCATTAAAATGTCACCTTTACCATATTTTTCAGCCCTGAGGTACCTTGCTGAAATTGCTGCTCTTTTTTTTGAAGCTTTTAAAAGTAATTTATCATGAATTTGTGAATAGTTATAACACACCTTTTCTAACGGTGGCGATTTCTTTAACAGAAGAAAAGATTTCTCCTCCTCCTCTTTTTTAATAATAGTTCTACGTACACGTTTTGTAGTCGTTGATTCAACAGCAGAGTTTTTATTATTGGGTGCTAAACGTTTTTTAGTAATCTTATTTTTGTCTGCAATAGTAGCAATGGTGGTTTTTTTTCTTAATCCACTTCCTCTAGTTTCAACAACCATTTTCTAAAAATTTAATAGAATAAAAATTGATGATCATCATCTGAAAACATTTCAAAACAGAATTGGGTAAAACAATGATATGATAATCAGCAATTAGCATAATTTAAAATTTCGAGATTTATTTTATTTTTAGTGTAATATATATATTAGACAAAATTCTATTTATTTTTTAATGCATTAATTAAATTAAATTTAAGTTTTTTAAAATTTCTATATTTAATTAACAAATAAATTAATTGTAAAAAAAAACAAAATTGATAAAATCAAATAAGATTCAGGTAAAATAAGGTTTGATGCACTATTTTTATTATTATTATTATTATTATTATTAGTATTCTTGGCGCTACCGACTGTTGTACCATTACCTATCTGTTTAGGAGTGTATTGCACATTATTTAATCCAGCAACAACTGAAAATACATTAACACCATCACTTTGTTCCTCGTAGAAATCCACGGCTACATAATTTGGAATGTCCTTAAATGTTTGTTGACAATTCTTTGCATGAGTTTCTAAATTTTTTCCATTTGTAATATTTGCTGAATTTGGTTGCGGTAAACTTGTTTTGATGCCATTTAATGTGAGTGTTCCGGAAAGAAAATGATTCAAGACGTACATCGGACGTACTTGATCTTTTGGTCGGTCTACTGTACATACCCATCCATCAAGAGCGGTGTTTTCAAAGGGAGTTTCAAACACATGATCATATTCACTCATCAACCTTAAAATAATAACGTTGATGATTAATAATTAATTAACAATTAATATATTGTAGTGATAAATAATAATATTTACCATGGAACGCTTGGACTAGCACCAACATCAATAAAATTAACAATTTTTTTGCCATTTTGTATCATTTGACTTAAAGTAGGCCAAGCATCACCAACTTTTTGAGTGTGAGCAAATTGTGTTAATCCAGCTGCATCATAAATTTGTTGATATTCTGACGCAGTATGTTTGCCGATATTCTCCCAGAATATTGTGATAACCTCGTTAGGATTATTTTGCAAGAATTGAGTATAAATCTTCAACGTGTCTACAGCTAGTCCAGCATCCAAAAAACTACATTTATTATGACAAAGTTCTATTGGGCCATTTTGTGTATCTGGTGTTTTAGTATTACCATCAAGCATAAAGGCACGGACACCATCCTTAAGTTGTGTACTAATGTCGTATATTTGATTGGCTGCTAATGATGGACTCATATATGCATAAGCGTTATGAGTCGTAACGTGTGCCACGTCTGAATAAAGCTTTGAACACAATTCGGCATATCCATTACAAACTTGAGCCGAGATTTGCGTTATACAAACTAAAATTATAACCGAGACGATTGGTAGTTTCATGGTAAAGTTCTAAAGTGTCAAGTAATAAAAGATTTGTATATTTTGTAAAAGGGTAAAAAGGAGAGTGAGAATAGAAAAAATTTTATATAAATTATTATTGCTATAATACAAGCTTCAAAATTAATGTTTGGTAATCTGGTTTTTGGCTATTTAAAGGGAATAGAGATGTAATATGTAAAAATATATTGTTAAAGAGGGAATAAAAAATAATATTTTTATTGTACTAATAAGAATATCAAAGAATATTAAAAAACTGGTCAACAGTTTTTATTTATAAAAAAATTTTAAATTTATTTATAAATAAATAAAAAACAAAACGGGAAGAGGAAAATAAAAAAAAAATATATAAAAAAAATAAAAATATCATTTAATAAAGCTAATGCATGCTATTTTTAAATTACGGGCTATTACTACAAAAAATTACTATATTTGTATTCATTACGAATTTGTTTAAATTTTTTCCAAATTGGGTTAAACTGCACTCTCGTACTCTGCGATCTTACGATATACGATATGAATAACAATCCATTCTGATGGCAAGAATTTAAACATTAATTAATGATTCAATTGTAAAAAAAAAAATGAATTAAAAAGATCAGATCAAATCTTTACAAGACATCAAAGAGATCTGTAAATAGAAAAGAACATTTTTTTAAGTTGCAATCTTCATTCAATTTTTTTGTGTGACATATGTACCTTTTGTGGTTTGCTACAGACAAATAAAAAAGACTTAAAAACTTTACGTTCTTTCTCTCTACCATCCCACCAACAATCTTTAACTGTTTGGTCCTTTGCAAACACAATCTTTTTACTTTAAACTGAAATTGAAATTTTAATTCTTATTAATTTTAAATTTTATATATCTTTATCATTCTTTTTATTTATTTTTTCCAAATTTATATTTAAATTTATTTTATTTATTGAACATAAACATGTCGGGCGAAAATAATAATAATGTCACTTTAAATGCTGCCGGATCCTCCTCATCTATTATTGTTGGTGATACAACAAAGTCAAGTGCTAGTTCTATTGTTAATAATGGTAATAATAATAATAATAATAATACTGGTAATTACTCTTCTTCTTCCCAATACTACTACTACATCTACTATATCTACCATTGCTAACACTTTTCTCTAACAAGATGACTCTAACAACAACAAAAACGAGAAACAAGCTCGTAAAAAACAAAATCGTCAAAGTTTGAAGCAGCCTTTTAATAAAGGTGGTGGTGATAATAATAATAATAGTAATAATAATAATAAAGAGTCTAAAGGAAATAATAATAATAATGGTAATGTAACGATGACAATAGTTGCAATTATTGAATTATTGTTAACTATGATAGCAATAATAAGTCTAATAATAACAATTCTTCTTTTTCTGATGTTATTACTAATACCACCAATAATAATGACACAGATCAACAACAATCAAAAAATAAAGATGTCGTATCAATTGAGACTAACAAACAACAACATCAACAACATCAATACCAACAACACCGTAAATCTACTACTATCACCAATATTATTAATACTGGCAATAATAGTTATAATGGACCTGATTCTCAAAAAAAATATAAAAATCAAAATCCAAACCAAAACAACAATACTTATAATTATAATAACAGTAATTATAATAATAATTACAATAATAATTATAATAACAATAATGATAACGGATCTCATCGTCGTGGTAAATCTTTGGCTCATGTTGGAGAACTTCAAGGCCCATCCTCCTCCTTATTGTCTTCTAAAAATAATAAAGTTAGTAAAGATGATTCTGAAAATAAATCTGAAGCTTTAGAATCTTTACAACAAATAATTGCTAGTCTTAAGAGTCTACCTGCTGTTTCTTCAAAAAATCAAAATAATAATAAAAAAAACTCCGAGGACAACAACAACAACAACAACAACAACAACAACAACAACAACAACAACAGCAGCAGCAGCAGCAGCAGTAACAATAACAATAACAGCAACAATAATAATAATTATAATAATAACAACAATAATAATTATAATGATCCTTCAAAACATAAAAGACATGAGTCAAGTGCAGATAGTGTCGGAAGAAAATCTAACGCTTTCCCTAATATCAATAAACAACATAAAAAAGGTGCATCGGTATCTTTCTATTTTCCTTCTCCTCCTGCAAACACATCATCATCTCCTCTAAAATCTGTTCAAGATCCTGATGACAGTAATAACAAACCAATGAATATTGAGAATGCATTACAGGATACTCTTACCTCATTGAGACGTATGAGCCAAGATAGAGGTAAAGCTCAAAAAGATAAAGAATCTGATAAAAAATATGATGATGATGAAGTTGAAAATGACGAAGATAAAAAATCCAAAAGAAAAAAGAATATCAGCAACAACAGCATTAACAATAACAACTACAACAATAATAATCAAAATAACAATAACAACAATAATCAAAATAACAACAATAACAACGTCAATCAAAATAACAACAACAATAATAGAAAATCTAACCTTTCTTCTTCCGATGAAGTTATTTTATATGGTGGTGTTGATAGAAGACCATCATATGCAGATCAAGATGATTCTTCTCCAACATCTCCTTTTGATTTCAAAAAATTGAATGACGAGTATAATTATCAACAGCAGCAACAACAACAACAACAACAATATCAACAACAACAATCCTCTATTAAAAATTCCCATCGCCGTCATCAATCTCTTGGGTTTAATTTATTTAATAGTGCTTTAGCTAATGCTACTACCAACTCTCCTCCTATATTTCCTGTAAAATCGATTGTACAAGCTCATGGTCGTAGACACAGCGTTGCTCTTAATAACAACAAGGATATTATGAAAGAGCTTGAAAAAAATCAAACTAGAACAATTGATACTGATGGAAAAGGTCATCGTAGAACTAATTCCAGAAATCTTGATAATAATTGGAGATCAGGTAAGGATAAATACATACATCTTTATTATTTATTAAATGTATGAAATGAATTTTTATTATAAACATTATCATCATCAAGAATAAATACTCAACTGCTCCGCCCCTTTCTATCTTAGCTCAACCATTCAATCAATTCCAAGTCTTTAATAAATTTGGTGGTGGTCAAAACCAAAAGAAACAACAGCAAAATCAACAAAATTCCAATCAACAGCAAAGAAAGTCTCTTTTTGCTCCCTACCTTCCTCAAGCCTCTCTTCCTTCTCATCTTAAAGCTGGAGAACTTGTATATGGTGTTTTAAGAATCAATAAACGAAATCGCTCTGATGCCTACGTGACCACAGAATTTCTTGATAGTGATATCTACATCTGTGGTTCCAAGGATAGAAATCGTGCTTTGGAAGGTGACATAGTTGCTATCCAACTCTTAGATCCAGAAAAAGTATGGCAAACTAAAAAAGAAAAAGAAGAAAAGAAACGTAAGAAAGAGGAAAGTGCTGGAATCGATAAAAAGAAAGTTGATAAAAAGAAAGACGATGTTGAGGTTGAGGGACAAGGTTTATTATTATTCGAGGATGATGAAGTTATCACAGATGATCAAAGACCAAAATATTGTGGACATGTTGTTGCTGTCATGGAAAGAATGCCTGGACAAATGTTTTCTGGTACTCTTGCACTTTTACGGCCTTCTTCTTCTGCCACGAAAGAACGCGAAGCTGCTGAAAAAGCTCGCCGTGATGCTCAAGATAGAGCAAACGGTATTGAGCCAAGAATTGAAGAATCAAGAGATTATAGAAGAGATGAAAGAACCGAACGCCCTAAAATTGTTTGGTTTAAGCCTGTATGTGACTGATTAGTGATTAATGATCGATTGATTGATTGATATTCTAAACTAATTACAACTTTGTTTCCTTCCTTTCAATTTTTTTACATTATATATTGTATAGACTGATAAACGTGTTCCTTTAATTGCTATCCCGACTGAACAAGCACCACTAGATTTTGTTGAGAATCATCAAAACTATGCACAAAAACTATTTGTTGCGTGTATCAAACGTTGGCCAATTACGTCACTTCATCCATTTGGTACACTGGTATCACAACTTGGTGAAATCGGTGATATAGATGTTGAGACGCAAGCTCTTATCAGAGACAACAACATCTCAACTGAGGAATTTAATGAGAATGTGTTGAAATGTTTGCCCCAAGTACCTTGGACTATTCCAGAAAAGGAGATTGAGTTACGTCGTGATCTACGCTCAACTCGTATCTTTACCATTGATCCATCAACTGCCAATGATCTTGATGATGCTATTTCATGTGCTCGATTACCTGATGGCAATTATGAAATCGGAGTCCATATTGCTGATGTCAGTTATTTTGTCAAGCCAAATACTCTGCTTGATCGTGAGGCCCGTAAAAGAGCTACAACTGTCTATTTAGTTCAAAAGGGTATTCCAATGTTGCCTAATCTATTGTCCGAAGACTTGTGTAGTTTGACTCCTGGCGCTGATAGGTAAGTTGGTTGTTTGATTGATTGGCTAGCTCTAGCTATTGTGACAATGATGATAATAATATTTGGTTTTTTTTTTGACTCAGGCTTGCGTTTTCTGTTTTTTGGACCATGACTCCTGAAGGAAGATACTCAAATACACGATTTGGAAAAACAATCATCAAGCCTTGTGCAAAGTTATCATATGATGATGCTCAAGAAGTAATTGATGGAAGACCATTAAATCCCAATGTTAAAATTTATAATGATTTTTCTGCAAGTGAAATTGAAGCTGATATTAAAGTATTCCATGTAAGTGGTCATATTTAAAAAAAAAATTTTCAAAAAATTTAATGAATTATTGATGGTAATGATGATGATGTTTATTATTATTATTATTATTATTATTATTATTATTATTATTCGATATCATTTATATTGTAAATAGGAACTTTCTCAAAAAATGCGTGAAATACGTTACAAACGTGGTGCATTATCATTAAGTTCAATTAAACTTACTTTTGACATAGATGAAAATGATAATCCAATTCAATGCCATGTTTATAAACAAAATGCCGCTAATCAACTTATTGAAGAATTCATGTTACTTGCAAACATGAGTGCTGCACATAAAATCTCTAGCACATTCCCTGAACAAGCATTGTTAAGACGCCATGCTGCTCCTATTGATCGTAGGCTTGTATGTATCTTTTAAAATTTTATTTATTTATTTTTTATTTTGAGTGTAATTAATCATTTTATTATTATTTTTTTTGTTTATAGAATGATTTTCGTGAACATGCAGCTAGATTTGGTTATGAATTTGATATTTCATCTGCAGGAGCTTTACAAAGATCATTTAATAAAGTTGATAATGCAGATGCAAAAGAGGTATTATTTATTATTTTACTACTAATACCACATTAATAAAAATGACAATATCTTATAATATTCTTTATAACTTTATTTTTAATTAAGGTTTTGGAACTTCTTGCCATTAAACCATTACAAAGGGCCAAGTATTTCTGTACCGGTACATTAGATATTGCCAAATATCAACATTATGCATTGAATGTTCCACTTTATACACATTTCACTTCACCTATTCGTCGTTATGCTGATGTTCTTGTTCATAGAATGCTCGAAGCTGCTTTATCAGGCGGTATGTGATCATATATTAAAAGGAAAAGTTTTTTTTTATTTATAAAAAAAAATATTGAATTCATTTTTCATTCTTATTAAAAATAACAATAGAGAGGAAATTTTATATCGATAAAGATAATGTACAAAAAACAGCCAGTTATTGTAATATTAAGAAAGAAGCAGCAAATAATGCACAAGAACAAAGTAATCACTTATTTTTATGTGTACTTCTTAATAATTTGGCAGCTCAATCTGGTCCAGTTATTCGTGAAGCAAAAGTTGTGGGTGTGAAAGAACATGCATTTGATGTTCTAATACCTATTTTTGGTATAGAGAAACGAGTGCACTTGGATCAATTGCCTTTAGAAAAATTTATCTTCAATAGTGAAAAGATGGAGTTAACATTGGTTTGGAAGCATGGTGTTAGCTCTTTGGAACCAATGTCCGATGATTATGGGTTCGGTGTTGAAGAGGAAGAAGAAGGTTTAGAGGTTGATGAAGAGGCATTGCTTGCAGACGATAACGATGATTACCATTACGAAATGATGGATGTAACTAGTCTTCCAATCGAGGATGAACATCGATTATTTGATAATAATTCAGATGGAGGAGATGATGATGAAGATGACGAAGATGATGAAGATGTCAAAGAAGATGATGACGATGATACGCAAAATACTGCTGAGGCTGCTGCTGGCGATGGAGAAGCCACTAGTACAATTGTTAACAATAATGATACCGGAAAGGGTGAAAATGTTTTAACGACAACAGCTGCTACTGCTGTCGCACCATCTTCCACCACTTCTTTTAACGAAAAATCTAATATTAAAATGGAAGAAAATACTAGTGTTAATTTTAATATTGCTGCTTCATCACCTGAAGAAGTTTCATCGTCAACTTCAACAGCTAATAAATTATCTTCTCCGACCATCATTTCTTCTGCACCAGTTATCCAACAACCCGTAGTATCAAAATTGACCATCACTTCAGATCCTGCTATTCCTAATTCTCAAATAATTCGAGAGCTTACTCACCTTAATGTCGTTATCACTGCTGATTGTAAAAAGAGCCCACCTGTTATCAAAGTTTTAGCTGTAAATCCTTTTACTTAAAACTTTAAAAAAATTTTTTTTAATGTAAATGAATTTTTTATTTATATATATATATATAGAGAGATTGCATTTATTATATTTTATTTTTTATTTATTATTTATATATAGATAATTGTAGTTTATTTGTTTATTTATAGGTTTATAAAATATTTTTTATATTTGTTTATATATATATTGTTTTCTTTTCCAATATGGTTTTTACATTTAATTTGTAACAAACTTTATTTTTAATAAAAATAAAAGCAAGAATCTTGAAAATCTAGTATATCATCATCGTTATCATTGTTAACGTATTCAGTTCATAATTCCACAGGATTGCGAACGAATTTATACAGATTATATTAATATAGATGGGACTGTAAAAAATCCGGATGGTTGTAAAAATATTTTTAGGCCTGGTAAACTTTTAATGAGTATTTTCTAATCCATTTACTTTATTATTATAAGACTTAAAATAAAGAGTCCAAATTTCTTTTTTCCCGGGTGGCACTCCACCAGATTTATCATTAAGTGCTATATGATATGCTTCAGTGATAGTTCTTAGGAATCTTTTATTGTTCATTTCTATTAATTTATCTTGACTATTAACAAGGTTCCGAACATTTATATTATCAAATATAGTCAACAACCAAATCAAATCACGTAAATCATCACCACCACTACGCTTATATCTTTTAATTGTCAATTCTAACATCAGACTCAACACGTGTGGATCAATTTTTAATCTACTATGATTATTCATTCTTCCCAACTCGATCATTTCATTAAACAATTTTTTACCGCTATGCCAATCATTTGCCCGATTACATGCATTCAATAATAAATCAAAAGTTTCGATTATTGGCCGTAGATTTCTTTTGCGAATTGTATTGTAAACATTAATTGCTTCCTCGTATTTTTTTGTTTCATTATAGAAATAAATCAACTTGTGAAAATTGTAAATGTCTGGCTGCAATTTTGGAAACATAAACATTGCCTCATCAAATAGTTGGATTCCTTTCTTATACTCTTCGGATTTTAGACATAATCCAAGCATAACATCAAATGCTTTGCGGCTCATTTCAAGACGATACCTTGACAATGATGATGCATTGCTAGCATTATTACGTGACGATTTTTCAATGAAAGAAACACCTAATCCATAAACATCGCCAAGTATATCAAATCCTTTTTGATACTGGTCAGAGTTTTTACACACTAACATCATGGACCTTACTAATTCATCATCCAATATCAACCCTTTTTTGTCTAATTGTTGTTTAGAAGTTGGACCCCAACTAACGTCATACTCACGATGCTGTGGCTGGTGTTGTTTCTCGATCTGATTACAAATATGATTCCATACTCGTAATGCCGTCTCATACCCATTTTTTCCTTGTTTTGCACATGAATTTAATATGATGGTGAACGTTTCATGATTTGGATGTACGGATTGAATTTTCATTATTTCATCAAAGTGAATTTTGATTGCTTCATAATTATTGGAAAGTGCACATACTTTTAAAAAACAATTCACATGAATAACATTTAATTGAACTGGCTTACTATTGTTTGGAGGTGAAGTAGACAATTCTGAAGAAGATGACGACGATGACGATGATGATGATGATTGTGAACATAATGTTTCTAAAATTTTTTGTGCTTCTATAACATTATCTTTAAATGTTCCATTTTCTGCTAATCCATTCAGAAGGATGGTAAAGGTCATATCATTTGGATGCAAACCACGACGTTTCATCTTTAAAATACAATAAAGTGATAATATGATTATTGCCATTAATGTTCTATACAAAAAAAAAAAATAGTAAGTAAAAGGTACCTCATTATATAATTTAAATGCTAATTTTAATCTTTTATTTTGTACACTAAAATCTATCAAATGATTCCATACAACTTCTGATTGTGCTGCTTTCTTTGCCAAAGTTACCAATGTTATTGCTTCATCTAATCTTCCTTTGTCATTCATATTTTTGATTTTTTTTGCTAATAAATAACTATCAACAGGAATGTTTATATTTGGATTTAAAGGCTTATTTGGAAGTTTGACTCCTGAACATTTTGGTGTACCGAAAAAATTACGATTAAAAGTTGAAGTTTTAGGAGAATACTTCAAATTCTCTATGAAATTTTTTATTATCAGAGAATTAATATTCTTGGTATTTTTTGAAAAAATAAGTAAAGTTGACATTTTTTTTTTTTACAACGAAATTTTTTTGATTATCAAACGTTCACGTGATAGCGTATTTCAAGCCCAAAATCTTCTTTTACCTTCCAAAGTAAAACTTCTTTTCCAAAGACTAATGAATATTTTATTAGTTAATTCATATTTCATAATATGTGTTTAACTAGACACCATGTATTTCGAAAGGTTTTTTTTCAAAAAATCGATTCTAAAAGGAAAAACTGGCGAAGGATTATAGAATAAAGTCGCGTATAACAAATAGTAGGAAGTTTTAGATTTGTCCAGATTTCCTCACATGTCTTTATTTACATTATGAATATATTTTCAGCATTTGGCCTAGCGTGATTACGCGTTTCATGATAAAGTTTTAAGTTCATTGATTCGATAAAATAAAATTTGTTTAAAATATAGGAATTGGTATTTAAATAAATAAAAATTGTTTTATTTTATTAAGAAAATTTAATTATTAATTATTATTATTTAATTGATTTGTTCATCAGTCATTAATAAAATGTTAAAATGTTAAATTGTATAAAGAATCTTCTTGCGAGTTATCAAGTAAATCTTGAGCTTGCTGAATAAGAAAAGAAAGATGTTTAGCTGATGAATCAATCCATTCTAATGATACCAGTTGTGAATTAAACAAATCCATCAATCCATCAATCTATTATACACAAATTAATATTTAAATATAATAATAAGTTTAAATATAAAATAAATAAATTATAATATTTACTGGATCATCTATCATCATATCAGTAAAATTATTAGAATTACACGATGGTAATATGTTTGTATTGGTATCATTAATCATTGTAAGTAAATTGCAATTCATATCATTTATTTTTTGATTCACGGATTCAAAGTTCTTGTAACTAGAATCAATATAAATATCAATATATAATATAAAAAACTATAGTTATATTATACATTATATAGATCTTACTTTGTTTCTCGTTGGTAATCGTATGAATTTACATCCTCAAGACAAATTCCTTCAAAAACTTTTTCCATGCTGCTCAAAAACTCGTCAATTGCCATTTGTTTACTGGAAATTTCCTTTAAAGTTGCACAGATGTCGTATTTTATAGTTTTAGCTTTCTCTACTAATACATTGATATTTGCTGCCTAGAATATTAACAGTATAAAGAATCTTCTTGCGAGTTATCAAGTAAATCTTGAGCTTGCTGAATAAGAAAAGAAAGATGTTTAGCTGATGAATCAATCCATTCTAATGATACCAGTTGTGAATTAAACAAATCCATCAATCCATCAATCTATTATACACAAATTAATATTTAAATATAATAATAAGTTTAAATATAAAATAAATAAATTATAATATTTACTGGATCATCTATCATCATATCAGTAAAATTATTAGAATTACACGATGGTAATATGTTTGTATTGGTATCATTAATCATTGTAAGTAAATTGCAATTCATATCATTTATTTTTTGATTCACGGATTCAAAGTTCTTGTAACTAGAATCAATATAAATATCAATATATAATATAAAAAACTATAGTTATATTATACATTATATAGATCTTACTTTGTTTCTCGTTGGTAATCGTATGAATTTACATCCTCAAGACAAATTCCTTCAAAAACTTTTTCCATGCTGCTCAAAAACTCGTCAATTGCCATTTGTTTACTGGAAATTTCCTTTAAAGTTGCACAGATGTCGTATTTTATAGTTTTAGCTTTCTCTACTAATACATTGATATTTGCTGCCTAGAATATTAACATGATAAATTAATATAAAGCCAAATCTTATTTCATGTTGTATTTATCAATTATATCATTCACAACAGTAAAAAAATTATCATATTGTTAATATTAAAAATAATCAATCACCCCTGTATTAAATTCTATCATCTTTTGATCCAATTGGTGTGATTCTTCTAATTGCCGTTGAAAAGTTTGGTTGCATTGATCAAGATCTTCTGACCATCTACTTATTATAGAATTAATACTACTATGTTTCAACCAACTAGAACCTGTGTCTTCAGTATCTGTTATACATGTTGCAGTGGCAACAGTATCATTCTTGGTGTTGTCGATACTTGATTTTTTAGATTTAGCTAATCTGTCACGATTTAAAAACTTTGGTAAAGTTATATTCTTGCGTCCATTATTGTTATTATCAGCAGGAATAATAAAAGAACATGATTTTGGTCCAACTTTGATTTTTTGTAGGGTGGGCTCCATGTGTACACAAACAAATTGATGCAAATTATGTGGTATGTAGATCATTATCAAAATAATAACAGTCGCGTCAAATGTTTGATCTCGATGTCTATCTTATCCTAAACAGGCATGATAGTGTGACCGAAATGCAAAGTCTATCGACTTAACAATTTATATACTTGGTGATTTTAATCATGAATATTCTTTGTCGATGATGAATTCGAACTTTTATTTATATTGTTTATTTCATATAAATTAATTTTAAGAGAAAATATTAACGTTACTTTTCGACCAAATGAAAGAACAATCAATCAACCGTTTAATTAAAATTTTTATATTAATATTTCGGGTTTTGTTTATAAGATTAGGCTTTCTATTCGTAATACAAATTATTATTCGAATTATTCGTTTTATTCAAATAAAATTTTATTTAAACATTGTGCATGACTTTTGTTCATGATGATTTATTATTACTATTATCTGTTACAAGGTAAAGAAAAGTTGAATATGAAAACATTTGTTCTTTTGTTTCAGAAATATAATTAATTAATGTTATCTGTTTCTCTTATTTTTCCTAACACCCATTTCTAAAAATTTCATCAATACCATCTATATTATACTTTGTAAAAATAGAACATGTGAGTAATAATACAAATTGGATAAATTATAAATTTTGTTAAAATCAATTTATTGTTATTGCTATTAGAATTGTATTATCTTCAAGTAGCTGGTCTAACTCATTTGTAAGTTATTCCTTTCTAAAATTTCTTTTATTGTGGATATATTAATGTTGTAAGCCTCAATCATTTCAGATATCATCTTATTTTTTCCTGAAATTAAATCAAACAAATAATCAAGCAAAATAGCAGCGGATACTCTTGTTAATCATATTTATTTGGTTAAAAATTGTCGCATAAAAATATATTATATATTTAAAAAAAAAGAAATAATAATACATTCATCAGCCGGTTAAATTTTCTCTTAGAGAATTTGTTTGCAGGTCTTTTAGATTCTGGGTGCTTATATAATGGATTAACACAGTAAACCATTACTTGATATCATATAATTGTTATATAACATTTTTATAACACGTCATTACTAGATATAAATCTCATGGCAAAATTCCAAGCAATAATGTTATTGATAATTGTTAATAATAAACAATTAAGAAATTTTCAAAGATCACATGAATTCGAAAAAAAAAACATGTGTACTAAAGGAACAGAGCTCCACAATAAATAGTTTTTTTGAAAAATCTTTTCATTACATTAAAGCTAGAGATCTATTAATTGAGTTAAAATTTTAAAATCTTAACTAGTTCTTGGGTTCTATATAATACTTTTAGAGATAATAAAAAATTTAGAAGGTCTTTTAAA